GAAAAAATTACCGGCCGAAAAATTTTTCGGCTAATTTTTTTATAGGTGTCCCAGGAATAATGAAAACAGCTGTAATAGCGATAGTAAACGGATCCGGATAAATTCAGATCCGATACTTCGGATAACATATGGCGGATATCCGTTAATTATCCGGATAAACACTAGTACTAGCTAGAGGTGCAGGCGAATCGTCTCAATGCCATAACTATATTAAATAATTATAAAAAGTTACGGCATCATTATAACTATATTAAATAATTATAAAAAGCTACGGCATCATTGGGGCGATTCGCCTGCACCTCTAGTGCGTACTAGCCAATACTAACTCAGATTTATTGATACGTAAATCGAACCAACTTTACGTATAATCAGAATCATAATCATTATTTTTAAAAAAAAATTAGGGATGCATAATTTTGCAAAATACGATAAATGCTATCCCTAGACTCGAGAGTTAACTTTAAGAAAATTATACTCGGATAATCCACTAAAAATCAACTATAACAAACAAATCCTATAAAACATTTATTATGGAGGTTATTGATACAAAAGAATTTTGTGAAATTTTTAAACTTCTACTAAAATAATCCTGACTAATTTGAGAATACAAAAAGTTTTTTCCATAATAAACTAAGAATTAATTAAAATTCGAAAGACAAAATTTTTCGCCGATCATCCAAAATGAAAAAAAAAGAATCAATCTATTACAATAGATTGATAATAATAAATAAAAGAATAACTATATAAGAAAAAAAATATAATTACATTAAGAAAATTTTAATAAATAAAATCGATAAATACATACAAGCAAAAAAAAAACATAACTATGAAAAAAAAAGTATATATAGTATAATAAAAAGGATATCCAATATTATAACATTAAATATTATAACATTCATTGACTATCGTTATATCTTGGTGGGGGAGGAACTAAAGTTGCATACATATAAGAAGGAGGTTCTTCAAACATAGAATAAGGAGGGGAACTTTCATAATCATGAATACCCGAGAAATTATTTTCCATATTACTTCTCAAACTCACACATCTTATACTAGTTCTACTGGCATGAGAATTATAACTTGATTTTGTGGTTATAATTAATGGAATTTCAAGGGATAATTGCTTTTTATGAGAAATAATTGTTTTTGGAATAATAGTATTATTGAATCCATCAGAATGTAATGAGTCAGAATAATGACTATTATTATTATAATTATTTAAAATTGGAATACCAAAATATTCCAAAGTTGGTGGTTGTTGATAGGTTAAGTCAGGATGAGTTGTAGTAGAAGTATTTCGTGATCGTTGAAAGTTTAAGTCAGGATAAGTCATATTAGTTGAAGTATTTCGTGATTGTTGAAAGTTTAAGTCAGGATAAGTCATAGTAGAAGTATTTCGTGATTGTTGTTGAATAAAGTTTAAATCGGAATGAGG